CTGACTAACTGGCCTCAGAGGAGGGGAAATTGGTTTTGTTGCTGATGAAGAACCAAATGCCGAAGATAAAGCAGCTAAAGCTGAAGCTCTTTGGGTTGGTCCCTGATTTCCATTGGATCTATCCTGAGCCTGCAAGAGCATAACTGAAATGAGGAAGATGTAGCAAACACAGTTCATAATAAGATGGAACCAGCAACCTGACTGAGGACAAATTGAAAATTTATCCAAAAAACCTATCATGTGCAGCAAAAACCTATTAATATATCAGCAGGGAAAGTAAAATGGCCTGAGAAGCTGATACCAAAAACTTTTACCATTTGATGTATGGAGCAAACAGGTTCCAATTACAAATACAAACTCATTACTCATTCAAAACATATTTATACTCAGTTAAAGTGCAGAGCAAGTTTGTTAAATTTGGAGACATGAGAAGTTAATTACTGTAGAGGTTGATTTTGTGGAGGATGGATTAAATGCCGAAGATAAGGCAGCTAATGCTGAAGCCCTTTGAGTGTGACCCCCTTGGTTCCCATTGGACTTCTCCTGTATCAGTATATAGAATACATCAGTTGAGAAACTAATTTAGATACTAATGACGAAGGTAATTCCATAAAATCATTAATCAAAATACTGTTCTCGGAACAGTGTCAAGATATGGGGTTCCTTATCTCCAGAAGAAATCCGTAATTCTATGTTTTCCAGTTATTAAAACTGAGAAGTTGACCACAGGAAGCCTGAAGAGAACCTGTATCTACAAGTTGGGAAAAGAAACCACATCTAACAATTTCAACAAGGATACACTGGAACATATTCTTATTCACGATTCGAACTCTGGAATATACCTATCTTCATAGGTTACTTTTCATATGAAGAAAACTATAAGGGTTAAATTCCAGTTGATCTTTACAATCCTACTTTCTCTACATGTTAGTAAAGAACTTCAAATAGCGAAAGGTCAAAAACACATTTCATAGAAGATTTTGTAACCAATTTGCTTGGAAAGCAAATTCCATGCATAATTTGAAACAAGCACTTACCTCTACAGCATGGCTTGCACCAAAGAGTAATGCTACCTTCTTCTGAAATGAGTTTCCAGATACCTGGGTTCCACAAAAATGAGAATCTAAGAAAAATATAAAACAGAAGCAGTTAGATGCAGCATGCTAGAACCGAAGGAACTGAGTAAAAGATAAAGCTGTCAACAGCTAGAGCAACAACTTAAGGGGTTTTTTTCCCTCTACTTTTTCCTCATGTTAGACTCTGACTAATCAGTAGAAATTAGCTATAAAGATTTTTCTCATACATTGAGTGGCAAGTACAGATTTATTGGCAAGGTGTTCTGGTTCTAGGCTGCCCACACTGCGAAACACAAGTTTCAAATACAACACCAACTGAGACTACTTTTCTGCTCCTTAAAACAGTCATAATGCTCACTACTATACTTTTCCATTTCTTGTTGCTCTAACAGTCTCACTGCAATTTTATCTAGGAGCTTCCTTGCACTTCATGTTTCCCCACACTCAAAATCAAACTTGACTTGACAAACCATCAAGCATTTTCAGTTTACAAGGAACCCCTATTTGGGTAACAAGACTGGATAGATTGATGCTAAATGATTAATGATCCTATGCCACCTTCCATCAGGTTTGTATTCATTATTCAAGCAACCTGCCTCATCTTTGTTCCTCCTTGGAGATAAAAATCCCATGATTTCATGTCAATGGTAAACATGTTAAATTGTTTTCAACTTTGTAAAAACTAGCTGTGGTAACATCTGTCACAATTTTCTTGCTGACGAAGAAAATAATTCTAATGCAGATCTGAAATTTTAAAAAACTTATTGATGATATATATAAACATTGTTGCAAAAAACATACCGTCGCCTTTGCAGGATCCCATGAAAAGAATGTTGTGAAGAAGCAAGGCTCATTTCCTTCTGTGACTTTATATAATGGAACTTTTGGAGACAATCCCTCAAGAGAAGTGGCCAAGTGTACATATTTCTGCATGGAACTCTGACGATTAAAAAAGTCCATTACAAAAGAAGAAAGATTTAAAATGCAGAATTTTTTGCTAGGTACCTGGCCAATCTCAAAAGCATTTTGCTTCTCTTTGGCGTCTACTGACTGACCAATCCAAACAAACACTTCGGCATGTGTGTCAAGTATCAAAATATCCTCAGTCAAGAGATCATCTTGAGTAAAGTTATAAACTTCCTCAATCTGCATGATAGTATGTAAAAATGTAGAAGCCACTAAATAAACACGGACAAATAGAATTTCAATTGCATAAGTCTAGAACTTACCTCAAACTTTCCTGGGACATCAATGTGGAAACACATGTATATAATCATAAGAAAAACAGTTAGAATACTAATATAGTTTTTTAAAACTTGAATGAAAGCTCATATATCAGTTGACAGAAACACTAATACCCAGAAGGGCAAAAATTAAAATGATATAGAATAACTACATTCATGAGTAAGAAATGCTACCTTTATTGAATGAGAATGTGAACAAATGGGGATCCCTAACAACCTCATTGGAGACCTTGTTGCTTGTATAATTCTGTTTCCCTCCAAGGGCAAACCAAAAGGGGGAGGTCTCTGTTCCTTCCTTAGCATGTTTCAGAGTAACTCCTGGCTGAATTTGTAAAAACATTCTTAGATATATTGACCTTAATGTTTGAAGCCCAAAAAAACTAGTAACTATAAGAAAAAAATAATAACTAAAAAAGGGATCATGATAAAACTCTAGCAGATGTAAGGTCCAAAAACTAATCTTGAAACTAACATTACCAATTTCAGGAGAGCAAAATATGGCCTCTTTTTTATTTTTAATTTCTATTTTTGAGTACTGTATATCTGTTTTATCCCATTATCTGAATCTTTGTTTTTGACTTACAAGAATATGTTGGAGCAGAATGCTAGAAGTTTGGGCTGACAAGCTTAAAAGTGCAGGTTAAGTTTTTAGAGCAGCAAATTTTGTAAAATGCTAAATGTTAGGATTAAGTTGAATTCACCCCTCCCAAAACCAGCTTCAATGAGACCATATCTAATTGATTTAAAAGAAAATTTGGAGATGCCTATAAAATAATCAAAGATGCTCATACATCAGAAAAACCATAGTCATCCAAATTTTTTGTAATAAATTGAAAAGTTAACTATGATACAATCAGAAAAGCTAAGGCCCAAAAGTGAAAAATAAATATCAGTATTATAATTGAAATAAGACAGATAGGCTTCAGCTCTTAAACATTCCACAGTTCTTTTTCTTCAATACAAAGCCAACTAAGAAAAAGTGGTTTAGGGGGTTTGGTGCCTGAGAAACAACATTGAACCACTATTCAGCTTGACAAAACTTCTCCATATTATTGAGAGATCTTAAGAGCATGCATCATGGGAAGATAGATGTAAAAGCCAAATACTATATGATTTTCTACAAAGAGTTTACCTTCAAAAATTCAGCAACTTTTGCAGCCACTTGCTGCTGCTCATGACTGCTTTGACTTCCATGCCAAAGGAACATTGAAGAGCCAGATTGCAGAAGCAAACACTCTAAAGAGTTCAATGATGTTGCTACCTAAACATGAAAATTGTGTACATAGATAAATTATAGGTAGTCTGCTATAGAATACCAAACTAAATATTGCAATTACACTACACAGGTACAGCCCTCTTATTACAAATTTGATGTCAACTATCAGTACCTTGCATGCATTCTACATTTTTTTTTTCCTTTTTATATGCAATGATATATTCAGATAAATATTAGTAATATACATAAATAAAATCAATTAGCACATACCGCATCAACTTGCAATATCTTATTATTATGAACTGATGTTCCTGAAACCCGAAAGAGGGCAACACAATCTGTTGCATAAGTTTCATCGGCCAAACCTTTATCTGCTATGGATGTCTTGTAACCAGAGCTCAAACCACCCTGTATAGGAATTCAATCATACAACATTGAGCTATTAAAAATCCCAATTCTAAATTGTGGATCTCCCTAGGTGAGTAGTACTGAATTTCAGTTTACAAGATAGCCACTCTACATGTTTGAAATGAGTACCTTAAAGACCACCATAGGTTGAAAGAGTGCAATGAATTGTGGTGGTTCTTTACCATCAAATATGCGACCCTGAAAAAAGGGTAACTGTTATATACAAGGTGTTAAATATCTAAGAACTGAAGTACTGAACTCAGCCAAAAGTAACATGATACCAGAACAGGCCTCCCCTTTAGGGAGTTGAACAATGTGTTAGCCAACTGAGCAGCCATCTTCTGGTCCTCCTGAATTAATTAATTTTTTTAAAAAAAGAAAAGGAAGAAAAAAAGTTTAGCTGGTAACATGGTAAGCAAATTGTTTGGAGTACCCATTGTACTCCAGTTAATATACTTTGGCTGATCAAAAAAAGGAAAAGGTGGCAACGTGGTAACAGCAAATTCAGAGCAAGCCAAATACAAGAAGATGGAGTTAGTAGCAGGAAACTTACAAAATGAAAATAAAATGACGGTAAAGTACACAGAGTTAGTGATCATATGAGATAAGAATTAAAATATATACGGAATTTATGTGCACATATACTCAAATTAGACCTTGTAGGAAAGAATATGTCATGCAAATGTTGTAGTGCCAGATGTGACCATCTATACACAAATCTTTTTAGAAACATCAAGTATGGGCCTGTGGGCAGAAACTTGATGAACCAATCAAAATGTGGTTAATACACCAGAACAGCAGAGTGAGGATAAACAATACTACGACTGTTAACATAAGAAATATATGATAGTGTGGTAGTGTATGTGAAAATTCAGGTTGAAGGTCCTTCAATACCAGTAACAGATCAAGAGCAATTCAAGTTGAGGTCATAAAAGAAAGATATATGGATTACATAGAATATGGTAGTATATGGTACACTTATTTGAAAATGAAAAGGAAATCAAATAAGCATCAAAAAGAAAAATCCAGGCTGCATTCTGTAGTATGATATACATACAGTTATGGAGTCAGTCAAACTCTACATAAACCAAAAGGATGCAAATTACCTCAATGCTATCTTTCCCAACCCAGTAGCACAAAAAGTGATCTTCTTTCCTATCACCTGAGTGGTAGGTATAGAGCACAATGTAGCAATCTCCACTATAAAATTCACCAATATCCTCTTTAGGCAAAGGAATCTTGGCGCCATCATCAATGCGCCATACCTGAAAAACAAGCAATGCAAAGACACAGATAATATCAACATGATATGCCGTGAAAATTAAATACCTAACCAAGCATGAAAGAAAACTATTAAGTTTTAACTATACCTCAATTTTGCCCCCTCCTTCAAGCAAAGGTGGGACTTCCTCATTTACAGGAGTACTTTTGGTCATGCCCTTGATACCAACACCTTGTTGCTTCAGCAAAGCTAGCAGCAAATAAAATACCACATTTAATGACATTAATAAGGAAATATACCAGTTTCATTCATAACTTGGCATAGAACCTCCACCTGCTACTTTTCCTCTTCCCTCCTCAGCACCTGGAGTTAGAGACCCTGCTGGCCATGAATCAAAGTTTGACTTGAACGCATATGTCTCATAACCTTGGATGACACGTGTTATATGGGTTGACTTTGGTCTATTCTGGCTAGTAACAAATTCCTGGAGATAAAAATTTTGAAATGAGAAACAATATCTTTGTCAATACATGAAGAAACAAATACCATGCATCTTTTTCTACCTCAGCTGCTTGACTGGCAGCTTTTCTCTCGTCCACTTGTGTTCCCCGGCCAACCCAAACAAATACCTCAGCACCACAATCTAATAGATAGCATTTATTGTTTTCCAACATGCCTTTGGATAATTCACCCTCAGCTGCCTGCAGCCCCCCATCAGATATGCTACAAAAACCGGTGACTCTAAATTAGCACTAAATGGCAATAAATCCATAAAGAATATGTGATGGCATGAACACTAAAACACAAGTATAAATATATTAAAACATCTAACTTCAGAAGCAAAAGAACTGGAACTAAGAAGCATTCCAATTGGGTAACTAACTCATGTAAACTGATCCTTAGATAGAAGCTAAAGCATCAAAACAAGCATCTAGGTGTGTATCTACATAATTTAGCTTTATTCATTGACATAACAATAGTGAAGGGTGAGACAAATCTCACTGGTCTGTCTCCTTTTTTTCCATTTTCTTACTTGATCATGCATGCTTTTAAGGAGCAGAACAAATGTAACCATGAAAGAATTGTTCACTCTTTGAAAAGAAAGTGAAGTACTTATAAATTAATATTACCAACATATAGATAGAAAGAAATCAGTTCTGTTCTCTAGTCTGAGTTTACATGCAACCCAATCCTCATTTCAACACAACAAGATACACCAAATTAAAATACCAATAAAGTGTAGCAGGAGTTCTCTCAGGAACAATATCATCTTCATTGGCAACCTTCTTCGCAATTGGAGCAAAACCACCAAAGAGGACCCAGAACTCACCCGAGTCTGACTCAGTATCTAGCTTCCCATCATCTGGCAAGGAGATCACCACATACACAAATAAAAGTGAGGATAGAAGCATTAGAAACAACAGATAATAAGTATAAAACAAACAGTACAAGTTATGCACTTGGTGCTTTTTGAGAAATTAAATTGAACAAACAGCATCCTGTTGCAAGCTTCTTACCAACAATAGCAACATCACACTTTCCTTCATGATACTTTTCTTTTAGAAACTGAATTACTTCCAAAGCCTTTGCCCTTTCCTGAATATTAGAGTTTGCACCATTAAACTGATAAATCTTTTTCTCAGTGTCTAGTATAAAGACATCATCATGATTCAGTGAAGACCGGGCAAAAGGAACCTGCAAGATTGTGGGCATAATATGTTTCACTTGACTGATCCAAATTATTTTTATACTAATGGAACATGATTATGAATAAAACCAATTTGTTTCTTTTAACCGTGGTCAAGAAACTTATCTAAAGAAAATTCAATACCTGCTTCAACCTAACAATCCGCTTTCCTTTACAGATATACAACCGCGTTTCAAACTCTTCTTCCTCAGGTTTTTTAAATCCAGATGCAACACCACCCTCCAATGGCATAATGCAAGGTTTAAAGTACGACAAGAACTTATCAGATTCGTGGCCTTGAAGTTCTCTGTGCTGGACAGCACGCCCTCCAAGGGCTGTGTCAAGTTCCACGGTTTTCATAGCTGCTGTGCCAGCCTCATCCTGCAGAAATAACATGATCTCAAACCAAGTTTTAGTTCATTACATGGAAATTTCAAATTCGAAAAAGAAACAAAGTAAATATAAGCCACCAAACCATACCTGACTTGTATCTTTTCCAATCCAGAAGTGTATGTCATAGAGATAAGCACCTCCCTTGCCAGGTGACGTCTATGATGAACAAAAACAAGGAAATAAATTCCATAAGATTAACAGCACATGCCCATTTGCCATGCCCCTAAGACCTGTGACTATCAGCATCAATTTGGCATGCTTTAAATATTCTAGACAGCTAATTAAATAATAAATAGCATAAAAATTTTGACAAGTAAAAACAAACATTCATTGAAAATACATGCATAACTGAATGATTGGCTTTGATGGATCAGGAATTCTGTAATAAACTAAATTAAGAAAAGAAAAGAAGACTTATAGAACTAGGTGAAGATCACAGTTATATTTTTATTAATAGCTGAAGCAATATCCGAAAATGGGTGTAAATACCCTTAGGGGTTTCTTGAGCTAATGAAACCTTGCCTTTATGCAAAAAAAAAAGCCTAAAATGGAAGCTCCACATTCCACTAGAATCTCACAATGAAACTTGAATATCCATCATGAAAAATTAGTAGACAAAAGTTGGAACTCAAAAAAGGAACATATGCCCTTTAATCAGTCTTGTTTAAATTTCATTTGGGCCAGCTGAACATAGGGCCAGATTCTTGCAGGATCCAGCAGGGAGGATTATAAAATAATGCCTTGTCTCATGTACAGGAAACTGTGCTTTAATTTCAAGGCATTCAGAAAACAAAGGATCACCAAGAATCAAGGTATGCTCCTAAGCATGCCTTGAAAATGCCTTTTAAAAGACTGGTCTAAAGCAATTTAAGCAGACATACAATACAACTTCATTCCTTAAATTAGAAATCACATCTCTTTTTCTCTATTCAGCAGCTTGAGCATCTTAGGAATTTCATTATAAAGTTCATTCAGGGAGAAGACACATCAAACCAGAGTTCAAATATGTACCATTTGTGCCAGAAAATTACAAACACTAATCATAGCAAGTATAAAATTTGTTTTCGCACATGTGAAAACAATGAAACAGAAAAGGGGCAAAGAGGAAGAGTCTTTGCACCTGCAAGACAATGTAACTATCTCCCGAGTAGAACTTTCCATAGTCTGACTTAGGTACTGGAACAGGTTGAAAATTCTCAATTCGCCATATTTCAGTCCCTCTGATAAGATGTCAAGTTTAACACCTTAAATTGGAATTTACCAAAACAACATATGGATACACATTCACATGTCCAAGAATAAAGTATAGCCCTGTTTCATGTTTAAAGCTAGGAAGTTGAGTAAAAATATACTAAACTATTGATCTTCTCTTATCAAAAGGAATATGTTAAAATAATTAGATCATAATATCCATAATATCATGACTATATGTAAATTTTTGTCATGTACAGAGGATACATTTTCTGACCGACTCCCTGGAAGGCAGGATCCAAAACTTTTGCAGGGCTAGACATTTCTGAAATTCTTGTTGATCACTGTTTTCTTAAGCAAAAATAGAATGGATTTGCTTTAAAACTCTGGCCTTTGGCTATCTGGAAGTCACACAACACTGCACTAAAGAAAATAGGTGGGATTAGGGGAAAAAAGGAATATGGATTTACTTACCATAGCAGCTGAATATCACAAAGAGAAACAAAAAAAGTAACAGCTTTATTGCACTTTGCAGCCTGCAAGAAGCCAGAGCACATTATAATAATCAAACATCAATAATTTAAAACTGCCCATAAAAGCTCCATCATATTTCAAATTCCTGGTTGTCCTTTCCTAGGTTCCATAAATCTAAATGCACTATACAGTTTCTTCTTTCCCTCTACTATTGCTATTTTCTTTAAAAGAAACAATTTATCTTAGGCAGTAGTCACACCTCATTAGCTGAAACAGGAGTGTCTCAGATTAAAACTAAGATGTCTGTCAAGCACCCATTATTTTTTAGCCTCAAATTGTTAAACTGACATGTGTTAGACATTGAGATTTTAAATGGAGATGAGTCTGGAACCATCTAAATTATGAAAGATTTAACGTATCCATGTCAGACACCTCCAACTGATATGTTCATCTGTGTTACAAGGTAGAGAACACATATCTTTATACATGCATTGATCACTTGCATGTGATTAGTTTCCTGTGATTGAGGTATTGAAGAGGACATCTGGGTATGGCATGCTCATTAACTCGCTTCATTCCCTTCACCCTTCAGAGGCAGCGTGATACCTCATCATGTTTGATATCAACCATTTACGGTATGCAGACAAGCTTGCTTGGGATGTGTTGCTTTGAAATGCAAATAATGCAAGTAACCTTGACAATCTTGGTAGCCCCATGAGGATAGTCTTCTTTCAAGGCCAGCCTTGATGCCCAAGTTCCCTCACAAAACTTTCATTTTTATTCTTTTGATGGTGAGAAAATTCAACCTCTTATGCAATCCTTAAGTTCTTCCTTTATAAGAATGATTGTGACTTGATTCAAAATAAAAGGAAATTCCATGACTCAATTCTTGAAATGTCATCATTTCTCTAAGAAATTAATCTTCTCTGCTCTGAAGCCAAGAATACCTTGTGCAATAAAAAGTCACAGAAACTTTTTGCATTAAAATGTTCAAAATATACTATAAATTATTTTACATTTAGTTTTCAAATTTTATCCTCCTACACCAAGATATGAAAGACTAACTACTGCTGATATTTTGCCTTGAAAAACACTGGTGACATGTTCTGTAGATAAAGCTTGCAGTGCAGAACTCCAAAACATAAACGGAACACAAGTGAAGAAGGATACTCAATCCATACTTTGTCTAGAGTAACCACATCAAAGCATTTGCAAACACCATGTACCACTTCAGCTAAAACATTTTCCCAATTAATCATCGAGCATTTCCATTGTTATCTACCCAGGGATCACTTATGCCATATTTGCCACAACTGCAACATTTTTGCATCCAATTGCACAAACTCTTAGACCTATCAGTGTTCATTGCATAATGGCATCCAAAAACCAACTCTCGAAGAGCACTATGGAAAAGTATTGCCCCGTTAGCAAAAGCAATTACCAGAAGGTTGAATCCGAATTTTTAGTTGGTCTTCACCTCAATCAAAATGCCATTGGTAACAATCAATCATCATGTGATCAACCCCACCCTCATCCCCTCCATAAAGGGAATTCAGTAAACCCTTAACAAACATTTAGAAAATTATAAGAAGTTATAGATCAAATTGTCTCTAGCTGCGATTGCATAAACAGAAAAGTGCTCAACTTTCATACACGTATAACAGACAGATAAAAACAATCAAGACGCAGAAAACAAACAAATATTAAACACCATAATTCAGCTAAACAACAAAAAGAAAAAACAATCCAGAAAATCACCATCAACATCAAACAAACAGATCAAAACACAAATTACCAAAAACAAACAAAACCCATCAAAATTAAGAAAAGACCATGCACACCCAGACCAAAAATCAAACCAAAAACAGAGAGATCCAGATCAAGAGCAACAAAAAATATCATAATAATGGAAACAAAGGAAACCCAATACAGATTATGAAGAAGGAAGAAAAGGGTACCTGAGAGGGAGATCTCTGAACGTGTATGTGGGTGTGTGACAGTGACGATAGAGCTGAGCAGAGCTGGCAAAAAAGAGAGGAGAGTGGGAAAGGGAGATAGACGGGGAAAGAAAAGTGAATTATTGCAGTGGTGTGTGTGAATTTCTCTCTCCAACTTTTGCTTTTTTTGAGATTTGGAAAATGGGAGGAAAGGAAGAGAGATAAAGGATGGATGGATGAAAGAATTATGATGAAGAAGAAGAAGATGGTGAAGAAGATGGAGGAGAAAGAAGACGCTTTGAAAGTTTTGGGACAGACAAAAGCTGTTATTTAAGGCGAAAAGATCCGATGACGATGGCACCGCTCAAGTTGGCCATTTTTTCCTCTCTTTCTCTTTCTTATTTGGACTTTGGGGGAATATGCATAGATTTTTTAAGCTCGTAATCAGGTTTTCTATTTGGGGATTAAAAATAATTTTATCAAAATTATTTTAATAAATTTATATATTAAATTATATTTTTAATATGTAATATAACTTATAAATTTTTTTTTTGTTTTTAAAGCATTATGTCCTTACAAAAATTACATTGGTTAAGAGTTTACAATTTATTTAATATAATATAATTGTAGTTTTTAGTACTTAATTTTAGTTTTTATAAATTTTACAATTATTAAATATCAAAACCAAAAATAAAATAGTTGTTTAAACCAAATTTTAATATTGACAAATAAAAATATTTACTT